TGCTGCCTTTGATGATCACCAGGTTGCAAGCACTGATGCCTTGCACCAGCACTCGAGTTTACATTTTTACCCCTGATACATGCAAGATCCCATCCATCCAGATTTGAAGGTACTGTCCAAGTCTAGACGCTTTGAGTCACATTCTCTTGCAGAACCTGTTCTTAAGGTAGCTCCAAATTCCAGCAATAAATCCTGCGCAGAGTGCATAATTTCTGTTGCCTAGCTGCATTCATTCTTCTTTGCTGCGCTAATCATGCTCAGACTGTGTCCCACCTGCCAAGGATATCCCTTCTCATTACGAGACTCAAAATCTGAGAACCGTGCTCCCATTATAATTTTTGCCTTCCTTGTACTCAGGCACTCCTTAGATTGTTTTTAAGCCTTACCCATCCCTCTTATGCCTCACGATGCCAAGTCAATCACTATGCCCTGCATTGCTCCAGTATTTACTGAACACTCACCTCACAACCTGTGCACACCCGATGGTGTCTATGCAATTAGTGATGTTGAGTTTCCCCTGCCATGTTCCCTCTTAAGGGCCTACGTAAATTGATGGCATGGCCATACAAACTCCCTAGTGCTGCTGCAGTCTACGTACCAGGTCTTTACTTGACACAGAATTCAACCAAATTCCAAAACTGGCTTTCAAAAAGCTCTTTAACTACTTTATTTTGCCTTATTTGTAACTCAGGATGGATTTCCAGAGCTAACCTACCCTCATACTATTGAAACTTACCTGCAGCAGTAACAATGATGGAAAACAGCATGCTTTTTAGCACTCTCAGTCTCCATTCCAACTTGAAGGTCATGCTCCTAGACACAGTTGCCTTTACTCCATAACATCCTAAAAGCTTGTTGAAACAGCCCAAAATCATAAATATTGTAATAGGACTAGGTAATTCAGCCCCTCAAGCCTATACACCACTCAATAAGATCATGGCCGATCTGTTCATAGCTTAAACTTCACTTCCATGCCTGCTGCCCAACAACCCGTGACTCCCTTGTTGATCAAAAATTTGTATATACTCCAAGTTGAATAGACAACGATCCAGCTTCCATTGCTCTGAAGAGATTTCCAAAATCTAACAACTCTCGGAGAAAAAAAATCTTCAGATCTCCATCTTAAATAGCAGATCCTTTATTTTTAAAACTCTAAATGCCCCCAACAAGGGGAAAATATTTCCAGTATCCACCTTGTCAAATTTCTTCAAAATTTTAAATGTTCTGAGATCACCTCTCATTCTTATAAAATCCAATAAATACAGGCCTAACCTGTTCAACTTTTACTGGTGTGCACAATTCAGGTTGCATCTCCCACACTATTAAAATCCTCCATGAACTGCACAGGTACACATTCTATGACATTTCAGCCCTCACAAAAAATAGGAAGTGCTGTGTTGCAACCACGCAACCACAGTCAATTGTCATAAAATCCATCTGGTTCACTCATGGACTTTAGGGAAGGACATCTGCTGTCATCCCCTGGTCTGACCAACATGTGACTCCACATCCACAGGTTGATTCTTAACTAAATAAAAACCGAAAGAACTGCGGATGCTAAAGTCAGGAACAAAAACAGAAGCTGCTGGAAAAGCTCAGCAGGTCTGGCGGCCTCTGTGAAGAGAAATTCAGAGTTAACGTTTCAAATCCAGTGACCTCTGATGTGGCTGAGGAAACGAGTTTTAGCAAATACTTGGTCAAACACCAGGACTGACAGTGAAATTAATGTCGGTGAGCAAGAAGAAAGATTGGAACAGAAATCCCATCGGAGAGAGGAGCAGAACTTCTTCAGGGTGGACATGCCTAGAAGAGATGTGGCAGTGAATTAAATACTAAATAAAAACCGGAAGAACTGCAGATGTTGTGAATCAGGAACAAAAACAGAAGTTGCCGGAAAAGCTCAGCAGGTCTGGCAGCATCTATGAAGAAAAAAACAGAGTTAACGGTTCAGGTCCGGTGATCCTTCCAAGGTGCATAAGTAATGAATGATTCATAACTGGTTAGGTGCATTATGAATACCAGATAGAAAAGAAAGGTTGAATGCGATAAGGCAGTTAAAAATCTTGTACAAGTCTTCAATAAGATACAAGCAGGAAGATTACACATGACCCTTGGAAGGGTCACCGGACCAGAAACAATAGCTCTGATTTTTTCTTCACAGATGCTGCCAGACCTGCTGAGCTTTTCCAGCAACTTCTGTTTTTGTTCTCGACTCTTAAAGGCTGGTTGGGCAATAAATATTGGCCTAGCCAGTGACATTCACATCCTGAAACTGAATAACAGAACTTGTGATTTCTGGGTTTGTCTACAATGATTAAATGTGAAAATCCAGGCTAATATTGTTTATTCTATTTTTTGACATGTCAGTAGCTGTCACACAGATTTCTAATTTCACAGTAGCCACATAACTATCACCTATAAATTAAGGAAGACATAAAAATGGCAAGTAATTTACACTAAACCATTAGAGTTTGGAATTGACTTTTGTTTTAGGCCAACTCTGAAGATTTTCTGTGTGTCTATGCATAAGTAATGAGTGATTCATAACTGGTTAGGTGCATTATGAATACCAGATAGAAAAGAAAGGTTGAATGCGATAGGGCAGTTAAAAATCTTGTATAAATCTTCAATAACATACAAGCAGGAAGATTACACATGATAATAAAGCACAAGGCAAAGACATTACATAATTTTTTCAGATATTACTAGTGTTTTAACTATTTAAAAGTTCAAAATTAAAAGGTATTTAGGGTAATTCTTTTGTTTTATTGAGAAGAACATGCATGTACAAGAAAATAAGCAGGTACTTATGAAGAACTTTGATGCTGAATGTAGAGATTGTAGCTTAGTTAGTCAGTGCATCAAGGTAAATGTTATGATTCAAAGGTTAATAGAAATGCAGCAGGGGGTAAAATCTCATTGGTACAATACTGCAGCAAAGAAAAAGGCGTGGAACTGTAATTCCAACATTGTTATGGAGGTAAGGTGGTGTGGCATGGAGAACTTAAACTAATAATCATGAAAAGAATGCAAGTAAATAAGTAAGGTAAACTCACCATATAACTTAATGCCTGCCAGACTTTACAGCTGCTCTCTTAGGGGTCAGAGACAACTGATGGTGGTTTAACCTGAGGGTCACTGTGCCTCAGGTAAAGGGAAAGGTTGAGAAGAGTGCTTCATGATAACCTCAGCTGGTGCAGAAATTGAATCCATGCTGTTGGTGTCACTCTCCATTACAAACTAGCTGTCCAGCCAACTGGACCTCTTGAACAAGTACTTACACAGTAAAGCAAATGTGCCACTTTTAGCATGGGAAGCAGGCTAACATGCAAATAATATGAAGGGGCATGTCACATGGACTTCCTAAAACATCTTGTTGGTAAACAAATATTACAAAATATTGTATTATAAAACACAGAGGAATGCCAAATAATTAGAGTAAAGCTGAAAAAGAACTCATATTGTCTAAGATGCCTTGTTGTCATCAGGGCATTCACAAAATACAAATGTCAAGGGAGCGTTTTTTTCCAACTATACTCAAGCCCTGTAGTACCAAACAACTATTGACAAAGGAATATCTTCAATGACATTCACATCTCAAACCAACAAAAATACATACATCAATATTTTAAAAGCTCATTTTAATCAGAGACTCCCTACAGTGCAGATAATGTGGGCACCAGAAAATACACCTCAGTTTCTGAACTACTCATAAGATACGACAAGTGACATCTACTAGTAGATCTACTAGTGTTAAATATTTTATTGAAATAAAGTAGTATTATTAAAAGTATTTTAACGGTGGTGGTGGTGGCAACAATACACTTCTGTGTTTTAATTCAAAAGTGTTTAGTCGCACCAGGTGTTGTAGTAGATTCTGATCCGCAAAACTAAGCAAAAATATTTCCCCATGTAGCTATGACCGCTAGATGTTATAAGACTGTAATATTTTAAATTGTCTCTTTTCATACAAGTAAAATGAGGTAGTTTGGAGATGGGGATATAGAAACCTGTTATAATAAAAGCAAAATATCGTGAATGATGGAAGTCTGAAGTAAAAACAGAAAAAGTGCTGGAGAAACTCAGCAAGTTTGACAGCATCTTTTGAAAGAAGGATCATACTGAACTCAAAATATTAATTCTGTTACTCTCTCCACAGGCACTGCCCAACCTGCTGAGTTTCTTCAGCACATTGTTTTTATTTGTGACCACCTACTATTTTTGCCCAGTGATAAACTCATGTAATTGGTTTGTTATGGAGACAAAGGCTTCTACTGAAAACAAGGTGATAACTTTCAAAACCTGGAGACAAATTAAATGACATCTGTCCCTACAGCTGTCAGACTCTGGTCAGCGAACAAGAGGGACAGGAAATCAGCAAATGCTGTGAACACCAGGCGAGAACACTGCCTTCTGTCAGTGACTAGGCAGAGTACTGATGGAAGCTCTGCTGGAAAAGATGGGATTTGAGAACACTGGAATATTTGCTTTAGTATGGCCAAGAGGAGTCACTGGAGTGGGGCTTGCAGCTGGCCACTGATCTAGGTTTCTTAGGAGACTAGTGTGATTGGTCTTCATCAGACAATGGGTATTTCAAATCAGCAAAACAGGTAGAAGTGAAACTTTGAGTAACTTTGGACTGGTCCCTGTAAAGACTCCAGTTCTGTGGAGAGTGCAGTGTTACATTTAAACACAATATGGGACTTGCAATCATATTAAGAACTTAAATAAGGTATCATTTCTGTAGTTCAGTATACTGGTTACCTACTAAGTAATACTTAGTTGATGTTGGTTTTTAGTTTGTTTGTTACAGCAGAAGTCAGAAAATGTAAATTTTTGTTTTGTAATCATTTGATTTGGTCATTGCGAGTTCAAATTTCTTTTTAAAATTTACCATTGATTTGAACTATTCATTACTGTTTATTTTTTATTAAAATGACAAACAGATAATGTTCCTACAGGTTTTTCTGACTTCACGTTCCTTATTCTTTTAAACTTACATTTAATTGCATGCATGAGTTCCTCTGCTTGTCTCTGGGCCAGCTGTTTGAGTTTCTCTTCTGACACTTTTCCTTGAGAAAGTTCCTGCAGCAAAGTTGTGTCTAGGAGAAAAAGAACTTACTGTAAAAATTAATACATGAAATTATGTATAAGCGAATAGAAAGTTCTTCCTCATTACTTGACCTTTTAATAAGAAGAAAGATTTGAATTATATAGTGCTTCTCATAAACATCAGATGTCTCACAGCACTTTACAGTAAATTAAGTACAATTCTTTGTGAGGTATAGTCACCGTTGCAATGCAGAAAATACAGCAATATGATAATGCCAGATAACCTTTTTTTTGTTGTGTCGATTGAGGCATAAATATTGGTCAGGACCCAGGAGATAATTTTTCTTCAAAATACTGCTAATCTTTCATGTGCCCCAAGCAGGCATCTGAGACCTCCGCTTAATGTCTCATCTAAAAGACAGTACCTCTGACAAGGTAACACTTTCTCAGTACAGACAGGAGTGTCAGTGTGGCATTGTGTACATCATCCCTAGAACAAATACACAAAGCAATCATACAGTTCCACTTCAAATGAATACTTTATCCAGCCATTTACGAATTCTGAGTGAATTTCTGGTGATTTCAATAAACTTGTGGCTTCGCTTAAATTTGGGACTTGTCTGTTACTCTTTATAGTTCAAGGTTACATTTTGAATATAATATCTAAATTAATACATTTAGGGACAGCTGAGACATGTACAGCTGAAAGAAGTAGAGGAATTATTGCCACAGACTATATAAAGCTGTTACAGAGGAATTACACATTATCAAATTAATTGTAACGAGGAACCATTATCAAGAAAAACTGCAAAAGCTTAGTTAAGCTTATTTTTCTACTCATCAGAATTTACACTGAACTACTCAAACTAATCTCTGTTCAGGGCAACCAAAGTAATTCAGGAAAAGGAAAATACTGCATATTCTGTAAACACACAGCAGAGGCTGCCTCCATAGAATCCCTACAGTGTGGAAACAGGCCATTTGGCCCAGGTAGTCTACACAGACTGTCCGAAGAGCATCCCACCCAAACTCACCCCCCTACCCTATCCCTGTAACCCTGCATTCCCCATTGCTAATCCACTTAGTCTACACATCCCTGGACACTAAGGGCAAATTAGCATGGCCAATCCACCTAATCTGCACCTCTTTGGACTGTGGGAGGAAACAGAGTAACCCAGGGAAAGCCCATGCAGGCATGGCGGGGGAACGTGCAAACTCCACACAGGCAGTCAAACCTGGGTCCCTGGAGCTGTGAGACAGTAGTGTTAACCACTGAGCCACCGTGCCACCCCTGGAGGATTGCGTTGGTGGGTTCTCTGATGACACGCTGTGTGGAAGTTTAGCCTATTTCTCACTCCACAGATGTTGCCTGATGTTCTTACTTCCAGCATTTTTGAAATGATACAGAATTTGATTTGAACACAAGTTAAATATGGGAATAACAGACTGTTTTTATAATAAAATTCATCGGCTGAGAATCACACTCAATCTGTAACATCCTTGGAAGTAAATTGGCATACACGAATGATCTAAGTGACATAATTTAGTTTCCTTTCTATCTGCCTAGTCTTCAAGCCATGATGGCTTATCTGCTTCCTTCCAATCATTTGAAGGGAATGTTGGTTTCCAGTGCATGATACTTTCCCAGTGATAGCCATTTCGAAAAGTTATCGTTTAAATTTACCTCCATGTTCATTTAAGATGAACTCAACTGGATTGCTGACGCCTGATGTTGAGCACTGAGGCACAAGCAGAATAACTTTAACCTTCTGTAAGCGTGGATCTATTGGCTCAATATCAGTGAATTTCTGAGGTATCAGTTTAATGTCTGCAAAGCAATTAAACAAACATATTTCTAAGGTTACTTTTACTGACTGGATAATTGGGCGTTTTCTCTCTCCAACAAGCAACATCGTTTTATTTCCTATTTTTGAAACTGGCTTTTTTTTTTACATTTTCAAATTTAAATACTAAAAGTTGTTAATACTGGGGAATGGAACTCTTTCTATTCAATTGTCAATCCAGGCAATGACCTGAGGTGTTACCACTATCCTACTAATCCAGAGACTCAGAAAATGATCTAGAGACCTGGGTTCAAAACCCACCATGGCAGATGGTGAAATTTGAATGCAATAATTAGTAGTGGAATTAAGAGTCTAATGATAACCATTAAACTGTTGATGATTGTCAGGAAAACCCCATCTACTTCATTAATGTCCTTTAAGGATATTTACCTGGTCTGGGCCGCATGTGAAATCTGGACCCACAGCAATGCTCTCTGAGCAATTATGGATGGGCAATAAATGCTGGCCTACCCAGTGATACCCACATCCCATGAATGAATTTTTTTTTAAAATTAATTCCAGTCAGCTAGAAATCTATGTCAGTACCACAACCATTTGCAGAATTATGCCTTTTCTATATCATTTCAACATGCCATTTTGGTGACCTAATTTTAAAAAGTGTGACTTTTTTTCCCAAGCTTACACTAGCAATGTCAAAGTCTCCCGGTAGAATTTCCTAATTAGTGAGATTGGTATTATGACTTCCATGTCTAATGTGAACTGAACTGACATGCTCCAGTTATTTCATATAAAAATCTTTGGAGTCAGTAGAGATTTTCATGCCATCATACAGAGTTAGATTTGTTGCAGCATGGAATGCCAAATGGATTTCACCTTAATTATAGTTTTACTATTTTAGTTATATTGCAGATTTATATGCATTTGTTATGAGCTTTTTCTGTATTAGAATTAAAAACTAGCATCAGATGAGCATCACCAAAAACAAAACTGAAGTTACGCTTCCCATTATTGCATTTTTCACATACATAGAAATTATGATATTTTCCTTCTGTTCTTGATACGTTTCTTGTTTCTCAACTTAGCTAACAGTATTAGACTAAGCAACAGACAAACCAGATGTACACAGCCAGCTTTGTTAATTCTCAAAGAAGAAAACTCAATTTTTAAATTAAGCCTATACAGTACTTAACGTTAAGCCACTGTGAACCTGGTCAGTTGCAAAGTTGAACAGACCAAGATAAAAGTAATTGAATTTACTTATTAATTTTTTTCTGTTCATTCATATAAAAACATGTAATAGTTTATTGGCCTTTTCAAAGATGGCAACTCCTAAAAAGTATGCATTAGTATTTTACAGAGAATTTTTTCTATATTCACCTAATAATCTGTAATCTGCGAGCTAAAGTACAGATAATGAACAGTTACACATTAGTTACGCACTTTTACAGCCCATTTTTTCAAATAAATTCTTTAGTTCAAGTTGTTGCGATTCTGTTTTCACTCCACAAACAAAGACTTTGGACGTGCTCTGGTTAATTAGGGTGGACATATGGGCAACAGTCAACCGTGAAACTGCATTAGTAACAACGATATCATCATCTATGTTCATTAAGACCTTCACCGAGTGTGGTGCAAGGCTTCGACCTTTATCCTGGAGGAAAAAGAAGGATACTAGATATTACTACCACTTTCTTCTATTAAAAAACAACATAAAATTTCCTTAAAATTTACATAATTTAGAACATTGTTCAGAAATTTTGAGGCAAATATGGAATTGTATATTACTTCCTATTTTGCTGTGTCTTCAATTCTTCTGTTTACCTGAATTACCATCTTGTAACTGGTGACAAGTTCCATTTCGTAAAGTTTAGCTGTTAGATGAGTTGGAAAAAGTAACACATCCTGGCAGTGTCGATCCTCACAGAAAGTCAGACCCTCGAGTTCCTGAGGACATTTCACCTTTGTAAAACCCTCTCTTTCCAGTAAATTGGTTACATCTTCAAGGCTGTCCAATCACAATATAATGACAATCATTAGTTTTAACTAGTCAAGAGTTTATAAGGTGCAATAGCAATGTCAATACGAGAGACGATATCTCTAATGCTACATTTAAATACTATTAGTATGCACCAGTCAAAATAGTCTGGAACAGTATCGGTACTGGTACAATAATAATACTCCATTCTTGTCTGTACAGGCTGTTTCACTTGGTCAGTTTAAAGGCATGTCTGTTGGTGGGTTTATTTGATGGGTGGTACCTTACACTCAAAGAGGCACATGGGACATTTGGTGAGTTAGGGCACGTGACACATGTGCAATTGTTAACTCTTGGTGGTAGCAATAGTTTGGGGGAAAAAAAATTATGGAAGGAAAGGAGAGCTCAATGACAGCTTCCACAGCAGGAGAGAATCACTGAATCCCTATAAGTGCAGATAGAGGCTGTTAGGTCAATCAAGTCCTTCCGAAGAGCATCCCATCCTTCCAGACTATCCCAATAACCCCACATTTACCAGAGCTAACCAATCGAGCCTACAATACCATGGACACTACTGGGCAAATTACCATGGCCATTCCATATGACCTACAAGTCTTTGGACTGTGGGAGGGAACTGGAGTGCCCAGAGGAAATCCCGCAGCCACAGAGAAGATGTACAAACTCTACATAAACAGTTACCCAAGGATGGAATCAAACCTGGGCCTGTGAGAACTGGAATGCCATTAGTGGGATGGCAAGAAAGGAATGGGAATGGAAGGCATGAAATAGCATGACAAGGATGGAATGCAATAAGATTGAGACAATATAAGAGAGAAGAATGGGTAGAGTGGTTGATGGAATGGAATTGGGTAAGTGTGGCAAAATGGCATGGAGAATTATTTGATACAATTTATACGAAAACTTTTCTTTCACTAAAAGAACTATTAGATTTGAATAACCTGAAGTTTAGAAAAGCTCTCGGGTGAATTATGTTAGTGTTGATTCTATAGATAAAAATGATGAAGATATTAACAGTCCACATCTTCCAGAGTTTCTACATAGTCTAACTGCAATAGGCATGCCCCCACACAAATTTAGACTAGAGGGACAGCAGTTAAGTTTTGCTACAAAACTTGAATCCTAAACAAGGAATGCAACAAGACTGACACTTAGGAAGCTGTTTTCTTCAATGATAACTACTGAAATTATAACAGGCATATTTTAAGGAAATATTATAATAAATAATAGAGGCTACTACTGGTTAAGGTTGTTGTTTCACCTCTGGAGAAAACAGTTTCCAATTAAGCTTTCACATGTTATGACTATAAATAAGTCACAATGCCAGATTCATGAAATATGTTATATTTATATTGCTAGATTTGTTTCTCCCCATGAACTGCTTTACAGATTGAGATTTTGTAATTCTGTTGAAGTCTTTGATGAAAATTTAGTTAAAATTATTTAAAAATTTAAAATTATAATTATTGCAATTAAAGTACTAACATGATTATAAATGTTTTACGGAGTTTGCTAATTCACAGTAAGTATGAGAATATTGACTGTCAGGTAAAGTTTAAGATTCCAGCTGCTAAAATAATAGGCTATTAACTAACCACACTTTTGAAACTACCATCTATTTTTTTGATGAGGTGGCAATGCTAGCAAATTTGAATCACACTAACTTCCCATTAGTAAAACATTATAGGTGTGTTGTATAATACTAAATGTGAAGTGGGGTTTTTTTTTAAACTAATTACCTTGTCTTTAATACGTTTATCCAGGCATAGAGAGGCAAAGAAGAAGCTCGTCGTTCTTGATTTCTTACAGATTCCGGAAGAATTAAATCGATGGAGATTGCATTATTTTTAATCCGGCATCGAGCAAGTGCAGCTGCAAGTTTTGTTTTAAAGCTATATAAAAAGATAATATATCATGTTAGTTTTTAAATACTACATATACTCAAGTAAAAGTCGATTCTATTTTTGGCCAAAAACTATGGAGTCTTCCACATACCTTGTGTAAAAGTCAACCCTGGTTCTTCACAGATAACAGGGCAACATTTGTGAGTCAAGATATTATCCTGTATATAAATGTTACGATGAGGAAATGATCGGTGAGACTGTATGAGAGTCAAATGTCTAATAACTTTTTGTTTTAAATCAGAAATAAAAGGTTAAATGTTAAACTTTTATTTCTGAACAATTTCGCACAGAAGTTTAAGATACATCAGGTCAGAGTCAGGCAGTCGTGGAATACAAACATATACCCAGTTAAGATTTTGAAATTTCTTCATCATTTTGTAAAAAAATGCCCTCTAGAAAAAAAACAAAAAATATACAGCAGCGTTTAAACTGAAAGTTATTGAAGTTGCAGAGAAGATAAATGACTGTATAGCAGCAAGAGAATTTTGTGTTTCAGAGAAACTTGTGAGAGACTGGAGAAAGACATTGAACCAACTTCAGAGAATGCCAAAACGAAAGTGTGCCCACAGAGGTAAATCTAGCAAGTGGCTACAACTGTAGAGAAAAGTTGCTGAGTGGTTAGTTGAAAATCGTCAAAATGGAAAATGTATTAGTCATGAAGCCAGCCAAATCCATGAATGAAACAAATCAAAGAAGGATGGAATTTCAGATTTTAATGCAAGTGCTGGACGGTGCACAAGGTTCATGATAAGGTGTGACTTAGTACTTCGGGAAAGCTTACTAATTCATTTTTGTTTGTATTGTCTCTATCAGGTAATTACTGCAATTCGTTGTATTTTTTTTTAAACTTGGTTAGGTATCAATTGGGCTTCTGCTAATGATACGGTGTTTTGGACTATAGCATGAATTTCAGCCCCTCAAAAGTAGCATTCATGTAATAGTTGATCCCATAAATTTAACCTTAAAAAATTGTCTAAAATAATTTGACTTTTACAGGAGTAGATACGGTAATCACAATGATGAGATGTGGTCTCTCTCAAAGAGTTATCACATATTTATTCATAATGTAGCTTGTCCATTCACCCACACTCCATAATAAACTTAAAATGCATGTCTTCAAATCCCTCCATATTTTCACCCCAGTCTCTGCAATTTCTTTCAGTACGATTTTCACCATCATGCAATTTTATTAATTCCAGTCCTTTGAGCACTTCCATCCTTCACATACCATTGATTTATTTTATTTTTATTTTTCTCATTTTTGGTTAGAACAGTGAGCTGTGAATTGAAGGTGACCTTTGGACTGTGAGCAGCAGCTTGTTGCAAAAAAAAAAAGGAAAGACCAAATAAATATACTTATTTATGGGACCTGGCATGGGAAGTTAATTGCAGGTTGATTATTGTTCAGTAAACTCTGTAGACATTTTGGCTCTGGAGATGCATTATGCTCAAAGGCTGGCAAAAGTCTGAATGTTAAACGAGGCCATAAAGGGACACCAATGCTGGCCAGTTTAAGAAAGAGAACGTTGGAAAAAATATAAAGAGAAAACACAGTTTGAGCTGAATTGAACTGTGTCTAAAGACAAAAAAAGTCTGTGGCTGTGAAAGCTGCTTGGAGTCTCTAGTTATCCTCTCGTTATTGATTCATTGACGGTTCGAGAATAGAATCCCAGCTATAAGGAATAAGTAAATATTCCTCAGAACCTACCAGAAGCTGTTTGCATTGACTGGTGTGTCTTCAGAAAGCGAACAACATACAATCCCATGTGCTTGTAATACTACGCATAGTTGAAACTGCTTAAGTGAACTGATCAATTATATCTCTAGTTTTTCTTTTAATTTATCCCCTAACTGTGCCTGTCTATCTGTTTATGTGAGAGTGGAGGCTATGCTCAAGGAAGATTAGGTTTAAGCTATAGGCATTAACTGCATTACCTTGTTCAGTTTTGCTCTGCTGAAGTAACAGTATTAATAAAAAATTGTTAATTTTTGTTTGAGTTATAAACCTGGCTTCTGATATCTATTACCCTCAAGTGATTATGGAATGCTAGCACAGCTCACTAAAAGGCAAGAATATAAAAAGGAAAAAAATGCTGGTACAGCTGCACCAGTAGTCCTGGTTAGGTCATGTCTGGAGTACAGGAGTACAGTTCTGTGTACCACAGCTTTGTCTTGGAAAGAATGCATCATAAATTCATCAGAATGTTACCAGGATGCCAAAAATTAGATTATAAGGAAAGAGTGCAGAAATTAGGCTTTTATTCTCTGGAATGAAGCAGTTGATTTGACAGCAGCTTTTAGATCTTGTAGGGAATTGATAGTGCAAAAGGTAGAGAGAAGTCTGAGCCAGGATATTTGTAATAGAACATAACGAACACTTCTTCATGTAAACGGTGATAGGAGTGTGGAACTCTCCAACGAAAAGCAATTAATGTTAGTTCAATAATAATAATTCCAAATCAGTGATTGATAAATATTTAATAAAAACCGAAAGAACTGCGGATGCCGTAAATCAGGAACAAAACAAAAATTGCTGGAAAAGCTCAGCAGGTTTGGCAGCATCTGTGAAGGAAAAAACAGAGTTAATGTTTTAGGTCCGGTGCCCCTTCCTCAGAACTGATTGATAGATATTTACTAGATAAGTGGAAATTGGGAAACTGAGCCATGAACTAGATAAGAGATAGTAGGAACTGCAGATGCTGGAGAATCCGAGACAACAAGGTGCAGGACTGGATGAACACAGCTCGTCCCTGCCTCCCTAACCTGTTCTTCCTCCCACCTATCCCCTCCTCCCACCTCAAGCCGCACCTCCATCTCCTACCGACCAACCTCATCCCGCCCCCTTGACCTGTCCGTCCTCCCTGGACTGACCTATCCCCTTCCTAACTCCCTACCTACACTCACCTTTACTGGCTCCATCCTCACCTCTTCGACCTGTTTGTTTCCTCTCCACCTATCCTCTCCTCTATCCCTCTTCTATCCGCCTCCCACTCTCTCCCTATTTATTTCGGAACCCCCTTCCCCTCCGCTTTTTCTGATGAAGGGTTTGGCCCGAAACGTCAGCCTCTCTGCTCCTATGATGCTGCTTGGCCTGCTGTGTTCATCCAGCCCTGCACCTTGTTGTCATGAACTAGATAAGCCAGAATATCAATCAACTGGTAGAATACACTTGAAGAGCTAAATAACCCAATTCAGTTCTTATCTTAGGGACATCGGACTTAAATTCAAATAAAAGAGGAATCAAAATGTCCCATTCTGTTGAGAGCTTTGGAAAATACCAGCTTCCCAGGAAAGATTCAGAAGCTAAGTATTATAGCTGATGTGAGGGAAAATCTAAAGAGAAGGAACTGGAAGCAAACTCCACCATGTTGGGACAGGAAGGAAGTGAATAAAATGGCACTCCGGGTTTGAAACAGCAAGTTGCAAAGGAAAGTGTGGGATTTGTTGCTTATAAAAATGCAAAAATAATGGGAATGGTCTGCTTTTGTTATCTAAGACTGATCGACTGATCGACTGATCCACTGATGTTACAATGAATAAAACAATCAATTATTTGCATAACAAAGGGCAGAATCTTCTAAAAGCTCTGGGTGGGCCTGAAGAGTGGGAGGGGGAACAGAACTGGGCACGAGGCCAAAAAAAACTGACAGTGGGTTAAAGTTTTGTGATTGAGTTCTCTGAACCTTTCATGCCTGTTGGTTTGATCACTGGGACCAATGAAGAACAGGAGCTGCATATATTGGGTGGGGAACAAAATGTGGTAATTAAATACACTGAGGAAGCAAGTGAATGGGATAAGGAGTGATGTAAGGCTAAGGCCTGGTGTCTGAATGGGAACAGGATCAGGAGAACATCAGGTATATCGAGGGAGATAGTGACAGAACCAACAGTTACAGGGCTATATTGAAAAATGTCAGAGAGGTGCCGGAGGAAAGTAGAAGGCCATATATAAGGCTTGGAGGGAAAGGGTAATGTAGAGTGTGAGGGTGAACAAATCAAATTAAAAATTAACAACTACCAACCTTCTCCTGAATCAGCTCACAAAAGAAGGCCTCACAAAGAATTCACGGTACAGAAAGGCCACATGTCTGTTTGGTTGTGTTCTTGCACAGAACAAACATACCCAACCGAGGGAACTGGTGGGAGGGGTGTATTGTTATTACTTCCTGTTCACCTGCCCATAAAATTTGGTGTTTTCCCCACGCGTGCATATGCAATGAGAGGAGAAGAACATTTTTGTGCAAAAACTAAAACCCAATGCCCACCGCTCGTTCTTAAGCATCTCCTACTTTTAGGTCCGCCTTCTCGCCCAGTCTCAAAAGCCAAGATTCTGCCCAGAATATCTCTTGGAACTAATCGAATGCAATGGTAATGATTGCTCTGTATATTCCTTCAGCACGAAACAAAAGCCCAAATCCATACCTGGCCTCATGTTAAATGTTTTCTTGTTCTGCCTTCAAAGAGACTGAATAAACTAATATAGGAAAGACAAAAATATTCAATTCAAATCACAAAGAGTGTTGTATTATTAGTCTCCCTCGATAACACTGTTGTATAGCTAAATATTAGGCCTATAGGTATACCTGCTAAAGATGAAATATTCAGATTGCTTATAAGAATGGCCAGTTCTGGTATGCCAAGAGAATATTCCTTTATGTAACATGTAACAGTGGCATGAATATCCAATCAAAGCTCAACTCTGATGACAATAGATTGGATACCTAATGAAAACCATGCAATAAACTAAGTGTCAATTAGTTGCACTTCACATTCTAACAGATTAAATGCGAAAATTATAATCCAGTACTGTTCAGCAAGAACAGCTGACAAACATTTCCATGAATGTAGAATTTTTCAACACAATGGCCCAGATATTCTGATGGCTAGATAGTCACTGGAGCAACATAGACTGGATTTGCTAGTTAGGACCATGTGGATACCCCAATGCAGTTTACTGAAGGATATACCTGGAAAATTGATAAATTCCAAAGGACAATCCCAGTGTCTGGAAACCTCCAGAAAAGCCCCCTAAAGTTGGAGAATTCAGACTCACTTAAGCTCAGTAGTTAACCGGGAAGATTTAGAGGATTAAATACCTAATCAAAATCCTGAGTGTTATTAAACTGAAACCTGACTGGCCACTAACCCATTCCGCATACAAACCCTGACTCTTAATACAACCAGATCTGACAACTCTATTTCCCGCAGACCTGACCACTATACCCCACACATGCAACCTGACCCCACTGGAATTGGCAACACCACCAGATCTGGCATCCCCATCCACATAGCCCCAGCCAGCCCAAGACTCAATCAAACAACAGCCCAACTCATACACTCCGTACGTGAGTGGATGCCCCCTCCACTGAAATCCAACCTGACCTCCCTCACTCCCATGATTCGATTCAACAACTTCCACCTACCCATTTGGCCCCCACCTCTCTCCCACCCTAGTCCTTCACCAACCTTACATTACCCTTACACAGTAGCTTTCAAGTGTCTACTGGGTTTTTAAACTTCAAAATACAGAACAGTGCTTAAGTGAGGACAGTGGAGCCCAAGTTAATGAGTGTATTTAAGACAGAGAGATAGGTTCTTGATTAGTAAAGGGATTAAAGATAATGGGCAGAAGGCAGGAGAATGGGATTGAGAAACATATCAATCATGATCAAACGGCAGAACAGACCAATGGGCCAAATGGCCTAAATCTGCTCTTATATCTTATGGCCTTATTATGGGGTATAGTTTCAATGATGATCTCGCCTGCTGCTGGATTCGAGGATTGTGGACAGGTTTATAACAGGAGGCTTCTGTCCAGGCATCTTTAGTGCAGAAGTCAGTTAGAGGTTAAATACATAATTTTTAACCCAATCAGGTTTGAAAATAGATTTTGTGACCCTGATCAGAACTTCTGGGCCATTAGTGCATTCCCAGCTAACAGACTGGAGAATGTCCAAAAGCAGTTGTATACTTTACATTATTAAGCAATTTTCTCCCTTTAAGGTGCAAACTCCTCAGTTAAACTAAAGCAGTATCAACTAAGAAAATTTTTAGAAATCACAATTAAAGTCACAAAGCAACACAGCTACTACAGAATTCTTTTTCCTTATTTAAAGACTGAAATATATTTGCTTTTGTGGCCATGCAGTTTGTAGTCATTCCAAGTTAAGCACAGCATTACTATACCTATACCACTATTGCATACAATGCAACTCTAAGAACGTAACTTAAGGAATTTAAATAATACTTTTCAAAACAATGTAACAAAAATCAAGATAGCAATATCGTTGTCCTTCACAAAATCAACATATCTGATTAAATATGAAAGTGAAAGATATCTGGTGTTGTATTTGCTATTGGTAGCCTGACCCCATAGCCCTAAAAACATACTCAGTGCAATAAGCAACATGATTATTTTAAATGATATTTTATAAAGAATAACGTACCATATGAAATATTTAAACAAAGACGGTCATCCTGTGGATAGTAAATTATCACCTCTAGTTCACCATTGTATGCTTTGTCTTACAAAATTAACCTAGAACATTTCAGTAATACTGGCCATTTCTGAGCAAACATTAAAATAATGGCCTGCAAACTGAAAGCTCTAATTTGCATATCCATGGATCACATAGGTAGCTGTATGTGTGAAAGCAATGCGTTCTTTAGTCAGATCCACCTAGTGGAATTTCCAAAACATAAAACTTGGATCTTGATCCATTTTAGACCCATGAAGTAAAGGTTTAAAGCTGCCAGAGTTCTTTTGAAAGATAGGGCACCCTTTTGGAGAAACTGCATATCCTTTTGAAGAGGTCTGTGGAAACCTTTAGGAAAAGTATGTTGTGCTTTAGAATTTTTAGAAGTAGGAATGAATGTGAGTAAAAAGTAGATAAATTCATTGGAACTGTTGAGTGTGCTGTTGCATTGTCAAGGAAGCTGACAAGAAAGTGGTCAAGGATGATGTCAAGAGCACTTATCAAGCTGTCAAGGAATTTAATTGGCCTGCCATTAGTAATGTTTGAAAAATACTGTCCACGTTGTAAAAAACATCAGTGCTTGCTATTTCACTGTCTGTTGGCATAATCCCAAGAGCAATTAGTGAACAATTTGAACTACATTTTACAAACAATCATTATCACAGTCTGTCAGTGATTTTTTCTCGTGCTCATAAAGTCTTTGAAGTGGGCCAAAGATTTGAAGCTTGTTTTAAGAAGGAATTAAATGGTTGAAGGAAGTTAATGGTAGTGGATGGAGTTTTTCCTAATGGAAGTGCTTTTTTATACATAAAACACTTAGAACTTCATCTCATTTCACCTCTGCATGGGTTTCAAGATCTGTCCATTGGTAATAGGAATGTTGGCATGGAGGAAGCAAGGCCAAGATGTGGTGATAGCAGGGCATTTTGGTGTGAGTTAGCACTAGTTTGGCATATGGTCTATATAGGACCATGTAGTGGGTAGAGGGGCAATGATCAGAACGGAGTGTCTAAGGAACCAGGGTGAATGGACGGCAAGCATGATGCAGCACACATTAACAGGGGTGAGGTACGGTGATTGTCTGGGCTGAAGACTGTTTTTCGTTTCTTATTTTGTTGTGGCTGGGACAAAGTCCCAGAGCACCAAGGCAAGCATTTCCAATGACTTGATTTCACACCTGTCAGTACTCTTTCCAGGGTCAAGAGGTTCAACTCCCATTATGCCCCTTCCTCCAGAATAAAAATCCAAATACCCAGGGCATTTCACCCTGGATCATGTTTGCCAGCACAGTTAGTCAAAAGCTAATGGAATTGCAAGAATGTCTAGACAGTTTCCTCTAGCCTTAAATTTCCTTGGTCATGTCATTGTCATGCATCCAAAACAGGTGAAGGGAATTTAAAGTTTTCAGTAATTCCTCAAAGGAAGAGGATTTAAAAATACTCCTTTTTATGCAATAATGAAATGATACTAGAGGTATCCAGCATCAGTACTACTTATCCATAGAGTGACATTCCCCTGTTATAAATCTAAAACATAAATGTAATAACTTGATTACCAAAACTCTGTTAAATATTTCAGCAATTGTCACTTTACATACCTGTAAAGGCTTTTTTCTACTTTTCTAACTTCTGGTATTACATCCTGTTCTGCTTCCGGAATGCTTCTTGGTTGGAATTTACGATCTTGGTAATCATACAACATAATAACCACCAGACTTGTTGAATCAAGAGACTGGAAAAAAATAAGAAAACAAATACGAAACATTATCACAAATCAGCATAACAAAAAAGCTTTACTGATATTTTAAAACACTAAATGTTTTACCAGTTGATGAAGTTTAGCATGTTTAGTATATTATTCAGTTGGTGCTATGTTTAGTGCCTACAATGATAACAAGCAAAATTAGCAAGAATAAAATAATGATAATTTATTTTTGATACAAATCAAGTGATTTTCTGTATCCCATTCTAGAGAGATCATTAGTTCATCAGTAGCCAGGTAAAATGGGTAGAATTGTTTTAGAACAAACGTTATCACAAAGGAACTTCAGTTAATGTGTTTTCCAGTTTTACTAACTGCATCTGCATCACTGGCAAGACCAGCATTTGTTGCCCATTCCTAATTACGCTTAAACTGACTGACTAAGTTATTTTCAGATGGTAGTTTAGACCTAACAGTACTGTGAATTTGAAATCACATTTAGGCCTGACAAGGTAATGACGACAGGTTTTCTTCTCTAAAGCAAGATATGAACTAGATGAGTTTCTACAACAACTAACAGCAGTCTTATGTTCACCATTACTGGAGTGAGCTTTCAACTCCAGATAATTTAATTCAAATTCCACAGAATATCATGGTTGGATTTGAACTAATGTGCCCAAAGCATTAATAATCCACAGACTAAGGTTAGTTTAATAAAGTTACCACTTTTCTACCAACTTCCCATGCTCACCGGCAAGAAGGCCGAGAGGTATTCCTGCACAGTTGTTTCTGTAAGGCTTCTTCAAAGATATTATTTTTCAAACTAAGAATGAAGAATTAAGTGCTTTATCTATCCTGCTTATAATTTTGCTGCTTTATCTAGAATGCCACATTGCAACCATGTTTTGGCATATTTTTGCCAAAGAGGTCTAGCATTGGATATTGCAGCAGTCACACTACAAAGTGGGCTTGTCCTCATTGTAGAATGGCAGCTTCAACAGCAGCCAGTATATACTGTGGTATACTGCATCATATACCACAATAAATACCCACCATTTTCTCCTGTCTGCTCCAAAAAAACACAGCTCATTTGGAGTGGTATTTCAACACAGTTTTAAATTCAAAATCACACAGATAGGTTTCCCTCGGCTCCAGAAACTCAAAGTAGGAGAAAACATAATGACCACTTGAGAGACCACTTGTTTGAAATGCATGAAAATACAGCAATAAATGCTTAGTATTTACTGTTTTCTGTTCTCAGAGTAGGAACGGATTTACAGTTGCTGAGAGTTTGGCTTCAACATTTTGAAAGCTTTTCAGGTCACATTAAGGGGAATGTCTTAACTGCCTGAAATTGGAATTCAGACTAAAGTAAAATCACCAGCAGAAATAGCAGACTAGGCGGGTGAAGCAAGCAGCAAGGAATACCCATGCCACCGATTGTACATGTATATATGGAGTCTCCTTGACATGCTGGAATAGCAACACTTTAAACAGCTCAGACATTTGCTGCCTCTGAGAAGAAAGCCTTCACCCTGATGCACCAGCCAGCCAGTGGTTACCACTGGTTTCCAAAATGATCATTCTCCTCAATTTCCTTTGCCTGTAGATCCTTCCAGAGATCTGCTAGAGACATATTCAGGACTTTCCAGTCAATTGGCCATAAATGCATAGGATTTCTGATCAGTGATGGCTTTTTTGGCAGAGCCAACAGATACCTGACAAATACCTGTGAAAACACCACTCAGTATAAGCAGACACTCAAGTTTTCAGCTCTGGCCAACTTTCCACAGGGGCAGGGCATTACCAATTGCACACACATGCTGATGGACCACCAGTGTGCATAAACAGAAAGGACAGTCACTTGAATGCATATCTAAATTACAACCACACGGAAATTCAACTGCAGATGTGTACTACGATCCTTGTAACTGCTGTGGAGTTCTTATGAAGAAACAACATCATTCAGAATCAAAATGGCACATATTGTTAAACTGGGATTATTCTTTCTGAAGAAGGGTCCCAACCCAAAACATCAACTTTCCTGCTCCTCTGATGCCGCCTGACCTGCTGTGTTCCTGCAGCTCCACACTGTGTTGTCTCTGACTCCAGTTCTTCCTATCTCTTATTTTTTATTGATTTTAGATTCCTCCTGCTGACTTATGTGCATATGGTAATCTAAACTGGGCAAAATATGCAGTGAAATTTGCAATACAGTAGTTGCCATAATGCTTTTGTCCTTTGGCGAAAAAAGTTCTCTGACTTGTTTAAACCCAGTTGTACACTTAAGGAGTGGTGCTGGGAAACAATGATAGCTGCTTCAAATTGACTGATGAGATCCATAGAATCAGAGCCCACAAAGCCCAACTACTCGAATACCAACTCAAAGCAGTCCTGTGAACAATCAACTGCCCAATGACCATCCACATACCCCTACAAGTTCCCATTAATTCATTAATTCAATATCAAGTAAGTTAAAAGTTTATAACTGATTCATCATTCAACAGCCAAGATGTGTAAGACAGGGAAGTAATGGAAACTAATACATTTCATATGGTTCTACTAAAAACCAGGAGAGGCATCAAATTGCAAAAAATTCAAAACATAACATTTTCTCATAGAACCATGCACACAACATTCTGTATGTACAAAGTTTCCTGCTTTCTTTTCCTGTTGCTCTTACATGATGCAACACCTGCAGCTTGTGCAAAGGTGCAGATAGACTGCTCACAGCCCTGCTTTGATGGTGGAGATATTCTTAACATATGACCTCTGGAATTGGATCATGGAAAGATCCTTTCGAAAGATGCATGGGAACATCACCACATGCAAGTTCTCCTCTAGGTTAGACACAATCCTGACTGGGAACTATACCTCTTGTTACTTCCACATCACTGAATCAAAATCGTGGGTCAGATCACTTCTGTGCACGGGAAGACACTGCCATTGGGGTTCACAGCAGTATGTGGACTTCTCACTGGTTGGAAGGGGAGGAAGTGGGGACAGGAGGTTTTCAACAAGTGAGAAGAGGTAAGAACATTGCATATTTCACTCTCTGTTGAAATCAGATCAGCATGACTTCTGTTGTAAGATTTGAGCCACATAATCTGTCACCAAGTACCTCAGAGGACCCACCTCAGATCGCCAGGAATGTCAAAATTCCACTCATCACCAATGTTTCCACCTCTGCTATTAGTTTGGACATCTGTGGAGGACCACCTCTGATTCTATCCCTCTCCCTTGTGTTCTGTATGGAGGAAGGAACAGATCTATAAGATATTGTAATGGTATGTATTTATTCAAAGGATGCAGTGCACTTTGTATGAGTGACTTTGAGGGACTTTGCAAAATTATTATGAGGGTAAGTGGCAGTGGCACACAGATGGGGATTTGAGGGTTCTTTAAATTCTTTCACAGGATGTGAGTATAGTTGGAAAAGTCAGCATTCGGCACTGATCTCTAATTGCCTTTGAGAAAGTGGTACTGAGCCATTATTTTGAACAACTGCAATCAGCGGAATATAGGTCCATCCACAGTCATTAGGGAGGGAATTCCAGAATTTTGATGAGGAATTAACAAAGATATGGGTCCACGTCAGGATTGTGTCTGACTTAGAGGGGAACCTATGGGTGGTGGTAGTGTTCTGCTATCCTCATTCCTCAAAAGCAAACGAACTATGAGCAGGAATAGACCATTCTTCCCCCGAAATCAGGTCTGCCATTCACTATGATCATGGGTGATATTCTACCACAAGTCCACTTTTCAATCCACCTTCCATATCCTTCAATTCCCTGAGAAATCTCAAATTTGTTGATCCCAGCTTTAAAAAGATAGATAGAAATAGATAGATAGAAATTTGTTACTTTTATTTGGGAAAATACAGATTTTTAACAATGGAGCAATCACAACCCTCTGGGGCTAGAGAATTCAACACATTCACAATCCTTTAAGTGAAGAAGTTTATGCTCATCTCAGTTCTAAATGAACTCCCCCTTATCCTGAGATTGTGTCCCTTGTTCTATATTTCCCTTGCCAGGGATGGGAGGGAATCCTCTTAGCATCTACGAACACCCTATAGAATCTTGTATGTTTCAATGCAATCACATTTTCACCTCCAACTTGCATGGCGTTCACCCCCCCACCAACCATTGGAAGTTCAAGCCGAGGAGGGTCAACTTTCCTCAACATAACATGCTGCCATACGGCAAGATGTGCACCCCCTCGGCTGAGGGCTGCCTAAATGCAAGGCAAGCTTCTCGTCTCGGTTTTTGCATTAATTGACAAGGCAAAGCAAGGCAAGGCAGGGATGTTCTGAGCGAGCAGGTAGACATTATGAGATGAAGTGCTAAGATAGCAAGAGTACATCCCCGAGAAGCAGCCGTATGATCATACGTCTATAAGATATAGGACCAGAATTAGGCCATTTGGCCCATCAAGTCTGCTTTGCCATTCAATCATGGCTGATATGATTGAGAAACATGTCACATTCCCCTGTCTACTCCCTGCAGCCCGATCCCGTTACTAAAGAACCTATCTACCTCCATCTTAAATATACTCAATAACTTGGCCTCCACAGCCTTCTGTGACAATGAGTTCCACAGTTTGGCTGAAGAAACCTTTGGCTGAAGAAACTCCTCCTTATCTCAGTTCTAAAAGGTTACTCCTTCACTCCGATCCTATTCTCTCCTACTAGTGGAAACTGCAGCGATTGTAATGAGGTCACAGCAGGTGGACCTTGTAGAATAGGAGTTCCTGATTGGGGCTGTTAATCTTGTTCACCTTGTTTACCCTATACCAATTTCACATGGCTCAGGTAATAATTCAAACATTAACACCTTTGAGGTTCTGCTTCTTAATTTGGTGTCTAGCTCCTCACGCTGTCTATGCAGAATCTCTTTCCTTGTTCTACCTATGTCATTGGTGTCCAAGTAAAATCACCGTAATCTTATCAGACCACAGTGCTGCTCTCTCATTAGACAGAGACAACTGATAGTGTTTTAACCAGAGGGTCACCAGACCTCAGGCAAGGG